GAACATAGTAACCGAACTCCCTTCGAGAAAGGTCGATAACTGGCGGGACTGCTACATCTTTGTTAAGATTGATGAGAACACCATAGTCGATACAAACGTCCCGATCCTTACTAGATGGACTGACGTGATCAGTAGATAGCCGATCTTCAGCTGCAAAGTTTTTAAGTTTTTCTATCCCGTGCTAACGCTTTTCATCCTTTATTTGTTGCAGACAAGCCGGCTACCCCGATCAAACCTCCAGCGAAGGGTTTCTACGAGCACAAGGACGACTTCAGAAGACTCAGTCACGAGACTTGGCTGCAATTCACCAAGCAGAGAATTTCCCGCTCTTTAGGTCGATTCAGTAACTAGTAACCCGATCTTAAGGATTTTTTCCGACCTAATCTAATATTACTTCTGCCAGGTCTATTACATCGTAAGTCGAGAAATATGCCGATCAAGCCAAGGAAGACTAAGGATTTTGCCAAGAAACTGGAAAAATCTTTGATGGCTGCGAGCGCAAAGAGCGCTGAGCATCAGTCGGTGAGACGCTTATCTCCGATGCTAACAATCCCGAAGGGAATGGTTCTTCTGAGACAAACCTGCTCAGAATTCTGCTCGGGGAAATTCTCCACCAAGAGAGATCCCGGTCTCTGGTGCCGCGACGCAGGAGATCGTTGACGGGGTTCCTCGAGTGGTAGATGTTGAAGCCACGAAATTGGCTGATGTCAAAAGGATGTCGAAGCAAAAAAGAGCTGATAAGAAGAAGGCCAAGTCTGCGAAAAAGGTGGCCCGCGCTATGGAGGAAGTGGAAGGCAACCTCGGGGTGTCATCTCCAGTTGTGGATGAGGATCCCGAAGCTCCTGCTGAGAAAAAGACAAGTGGTGATAATGAGCCTATCGCCAAAAGACAGTGGAACGCGGCTGCCCTTAGCAAACACAGCTTTCGATTCGAGTATCGAGGTAAGGACCCAATCCAAATGGACGACGTCTCCAGTGCAAGGCTAAGATGGGTGATGAGGGGAAACCCTTTCAGCTCAGGTGAAATGGACGATCTTATCTACAAAGATGACTTCGTCCGGATGGCAGCTGCTGGTGCTCGGGTAAGGTTCCCTCGATTTCTTATGCCCAGCGCATAATTGCTTTGGTGTTTGCATCACTAACATTTTTTTGTTTAGGCTGCAAACCTTGCCACTGCGGTGGTTGAGCGGTATGACTGAGCTCTGAAAAAGGGTCGCCTGAATGAGGTGACTTTGAACAATGCTGTTGTGGCTGGGCAGAGGGAGCTAGCCGCGACAAGGGTCGAAATCGATACTCTCAAACTTCTCGTGAAGTGTAAGTCAGAAGAAAACATGGCTCTCACGGCTGGGTTGGCTTCGGCCCTAAGGAAATTTGATGCTGAAAAAGAGGCTCTCACAAAAGGCCGGGATGATTGGGGCCATTCACTGGCCGCACAAGTCCGCCGTTTGGTGTCAGACCATTACGCTGGGCTGATCAAGAAGACAATGACTCATGTGGCGCAGCGCGAGGAGATTGACACGATCATAACATCCCGTGCTCAACTTGAGGGGTAACTTGAAGCCATAAACATTTTTGAGTGAAACGGCTTCGCTTATCCTCCCGCGGTGAAAGCTAAGGTCGACGCTGACCCCGTGGATCTGAAAGCTCAAGCTGCGGCTTATGATGAGATAGAACTTGTTGATGATGACTTTGACGTGCCCGATGGCGCTTTAGAGTTTCCCCGAGATAATCCTTGTCTTCTACAGGGTGAACATGGATCGAATAAGGGCAAGTTTACCCCCGAGGTAGTCGTTCAGCTGAAGAATGTTCGCGAGCATGAGGGTGCATATCCAAAGTCTGACCCGACCCAGGGATTTGTCATAACGTCAGTTGTCAAACCAGGTGTGGATCAGAGCGGACTTCTTGCGGAAGCGAATGAGCCGGAAAGGGCGATGAAGGACAGCGAAGGCGAGGAAGACCGTTTTGAATCGGAAGGTGGAGAAGGAAGCCGTGCTAAGATGGAGGGCGGGGAGGTTAAAGTTTCGGAGGCATGACCTCTCTATTTTTTTTCTTGTTGAACTTTTACCCGTGCTGCGGGGTTTATTTTGTTTTTAGTACTACTACCCGTGCTGCGGGGTTGGTGTAACACTTGGTCTTTTATTATTTATTTTTTATTCTCGCTTTTCAATGAAACAGACCCGTGCTGGGATTTTTATTTACTCGCGTAACTGAACTTAGGTGTGAGACTTTTAGACAAAGAGTTGAACTCCAGTCTTGGGGCTAGAATTGAAGTGAACCCTCTGTAAGAGTACGACTTCGAGCATGCAAATATCTATTAGCTTTAATTTGTTCGTGGGACTTAAGAATTTTCCTAAGTACGAATGTATGTATGGGAGATTAGCTCGGCTTAACTTGATTACACGACTTAGGATTGTACAGGATAGATCCTGGCTTTTCATGTTAAGTTATACGAGCGTGCGAGGAGGTCGGCTTATATTGCATCGTACGACTTCATATTTATAAGTACGACTTAGAATTTTCTAAATCCGACCACCTCACCGCTCTTAGGGCATATATAGATTTTTTTAATAAATAGAAATTGACTAATAACTAAAATTAAAATTGGACTGTACTCGAGGGGTTATGAAAATGTATTCAAGACAAATTTGCATGCGACTTTGATTTTTGAACAATTAATATTTATATCTACCTGCATATTTGTGAAAAAATTGATGTATGGATTTTATGTGTTAAAAGAAAATAACAAAATATATGTTTTGTAATATATATTTTTATAATGTATGATTGATTTGTTTATAAAATATATGTATATTATGCATGTAGGTATGAGTTATAAATAAGTGAATTGTAATATTTAGGGGTTGGTTAGTTTTTCTGAAAATTTTCGCAAACATTATAATTTTACACAACACAGTTTTTTGGCGTTTAACTATAATCACGAAAATCGTTTCTAACGTTTTGTATATAATAAAAATTTCTTATTTTTCAGTGTTTTGTGATATATGGTTTCTCAATCAAAATTATAATAAAGATTTATTTTAAAATTTGTGAATTCTTATTTTATAGAATTCTCCGATAGTTCTCCGCTCACCTCTTCGTCAAAGTTTTTATAGCCCGCAATCGCTCGCTTCCGCAAACTCTATGTAACTGCAGCGTTTAAACCAGCCGGATCCTAAAATTTTATATGTATGGTTAAAAGTGTAAAATAATATATTTAATATTTCATCGTTATATTACATAATAAGAGTTCTTCTATTCCTAACTTTGATATATGTGTTAATCTTGTATATAATAGATCATAACATATACAAAACTTTATTTATGAAATAATATTTTAAGATGTTGAAAAAAAAATATACACAAAAGAATTAATATGTGTAAGATAATATTTTAAATATTTCAAAATAAAAATATAAAATCGATCAAAATTATTCTTTTTTTTGTCTTCTTTGACTCATATTTTTTTTCTTAACTTTGAATAATACTTTAAACATTAAGATCATCTCCAATGTATTTTTCTATTTTTTCTTCTAAAATATATGTGGTTTCTCTCCAACATATTTCTATTTTAATGCAAAAAGAAAAATTATTACTTTTTCTTCCAATTATAGAAGAAAAAATAACATCGCTATTTTTTCTCTAAATTATAAATTTTCAAAGAAATATGGGTTAGAGGTATTTTAAACCAAAGGTATAGCCTGAGAGTTTTACAGAAAATTAAAGTCGTAAAAATTTATTTTTACTTTTACTTCTACTTCTTATTCATATATTTATTTATATCAAATTAAATTATAATAAATATTTGTTATAAAATTTATAAAATCATATTTTATAAAATTCTCGGGTAGCTCTCTGCTCATCTTTTTGTCCAATATTAAGGAATTGGTTTGATGAAGTAAATAAATTTCTTATGGTTGGTCTATACGCATGTATTCATTATAAAATTTAAGCCACACATGCATTTATTATAAAATTTCTTTCTTAATATTTTCAAAGGACTCTGTAAAACAAAGTTTGAAAGTGTTATGGAAAAACAAAACTATAGAGATTTTTTCTTTACTTCTACTTCTTATTCATAATTGTTTTTTTATTTATAATTTATTTTTTTATACGGTTACATTGCATTTTATTTCTGATCTCAAATTCTCGATTTACAATAAGACTGTATATATGAGTAGGACTATGTTATAAACTTTGACTTTATTTTAAAAAAGGATAAGAGATAAAATAAAATCGTTATGTAAGGTAAGCTATACAAATTCCAGAAAACAATAATATAAAAATGTTAAAAAATTATATACAAATAATAATATATCATACTCCCAACATTATTAATATATAGCGTATATACTATCTTATTGGATAATATATTATTATGTTTTTAAAAAAATTTAAAATATATATTGGTTGTAAAATTCTTGTAATCATATTTTATGCAATATATTATGAATATATATATAAAAAAATTGAAATCATAGTAACTATTATTTTCTGTTTATTTAAATTTATTATTTTTAGTGTTATAACCTAGTGTATTTATGTTATAATTTTATAATTTATTTAATTATAACTCAACCAATCAAAATATTTTGTTTATTTTATGAAATTTGCTATGTCACATTTCCATGTTACAATTCCACGTCACTATTAATTTACACTAATTTTTGCTAAGGTGATGACATATCAGATTTTTTCATTAAACATGCTTCTCAAATAATAGTTACGATGGTTGATTATTTTATTACAATTTTGTAAAATTAACTATGAATTGAATAATTATTTTATGTATGCGTTTGTTGATGATTTAATTAATGTGTCAGATTGCTAATGACGGGTTTTCCCTAATTCTCTATATCTTAAAAGTCCACCAGAAAGTTCTGAACCTTTTTTTCAGAAAAAATATTCGATAATGTTGAAGATTTTTAGTCAACCAAATTTTTACTAATTTAGTCTACTACAAAAAATAAAGAAAAAGAAAAAATAATTTGGTCGTCAATAAGACAAAATTGCCCGGAAAAAGGGCAGAAGCTAATTACCAGATTTCCCTTTACGACCGTGAATGAGAGCCGTGGCGGCTACAATATAAAAACAAATAAATTCCTGAGATCGACAATAATAGAGTAAAGAAAACCCGACAACAATAGTTCTCCTTCTTCTCAAGAGATGGAGAATCACACGAAGGACCTGCAAGATTCAACCATGAAAGTTTCATCTCTTAATTGCATCGATCTCGCCAACGATGATCTTCATCATTCAGTTGTTTCTCTCAAACAGGTTCTGTCTACATTTTATTTTAATTAATCTCCAAATTCGATCATTTAAATTTTTAAAAATAAAACAATTAAGGAGGATTGAAATTGTTGATTCAGGCATGTTTGGATTGTGGATTCTTCTATGTCATCAATCATGGAATAAACGAGGAGTTCATGGATGATGTTTTCGAGCAGAGCAAGAAGTTTTTCGCTCTTCCTTTAGAGGAGAAGATGAAAGTTCTGAGAAACGAAAAGCACCGTGGCTATACACCTGTTCTTGATGAAATCGTAGATCCTGAGAATCAAGTCAATGGTTCGTTGCATGTGTGATTTATTGATTTGATTAATCTCGAAACTATTCTTTTAATTTTTGTAACTTATTTTGGGTTTTAGGAGATCATAAAGAAGGTTATTACATTGGAATTGAAGTTCCTAAGGATGATCCTGATTGGGATAAATTATTTTATGGTCCAAATCCTTGGCCTAATTCTGGTTAGTGTTTTAATCTTAGTTTTCTTTTTGTTAATTTCATTTTCTTTTAATTAAAACTTTGATGTTTTTTTTTTTGTTTTGCAAAAGGATATAACTTTTGATGTTTTTTCGTTAGATGTTTTACCTCGATGGCGAGAAACCATGGAGAAATATCATCAAGAAGCATTGTAAGTATCATCAAGAATCATTGTAAATATCAGCAAAAAGCTTTGTATATGATATAAAGATTTTCTTCGATGTTCAGGAGGGTTTCTAAGGATATTGCAAGATTATTGGCGTTAGCACTTGATTTGGATGTGAATTACTTTGATAGCACAGAGATGCTTGGAAAGCCTATTGCAACGATGCGATTACTGCACTATCAAGGTTAATATATTATTTTTATAAAGATAACAGAGGATTATGATTTCCTAAGCTTTCTATGTCACACTTCTTTTGTTTACCTTTAGGTATTTCTGATCCGTCAAAAGGAATATATGCATGTGGAGCACATTCTGATTACGGAATGATGACTCTGTTAGCCACTGATGGTGTAATGGGACTCCAGGTATTAAGCATCAGTAACAGAGTTTTGCTAATCAAATACCTTTTGACATGACAAATTGCTAAAAACTTGATGGCAGATATGTAAAGATAAGAACGAGAAGCCTCAAAAGTGGGAATATGTACCGCCGATTAAAGGGTAGAACAAATAACCTTTTTATAGTTGTTCCGTTAACTGTATTGACTAGCTTGAAATTATTTGGTTAATCACATAACCTTTTTTTGTTTTTTTTTTGTTAATCACATAACCTTGAATGCTATATTGCCTAGTTTCGGATTTATGTGAGTTATCACATGTGCTCTAGTGTGAGAAAGTGATCAATATTAGTATTTGTCTGCAGAGCATTTATTGTGAATCTTGGGGATATGCTGGAACGTTGGAGCAATGGCTTTTTCAAGTAAAATACTTTTACCCAAACTAGTGATTGTGATCTATAAAGTCATATTTTCTATCTGCAATATTTCTAAAGTGCATTTTAATCTTACAGATCCACGTTGCATCGGGTTCTTGGGAACGGCCAAGAACGATATTCGGTAAGGGTCTTACTAATCTTTACAGTCTTATGGTTACTAGGGAGATGTATTCAGCCATATGCTTCTCAACATTCTTAGTTTTGTGTTTTGACATGTCCAGAACATTGAAGTTGCATCTAATGTGTTGTCTCGATGCAGATTCCGTTCTTTGTGGAACCGAATCATGACTGTCTTGTGGAATGTCTCCCAACCTGCAAGTCAGAAAGCAATGTTCCCAAGTAAGATTTTTATCTTCTGTTATTATGAGACCTTTGAGTAATATAAACAGTTTTGTTAAAAATGTTTTGATAATGGTTCTGATGGATTTATAGATATCCAGCGATCAAATGTTCGACATACCTCACTCAACGTTACAATGAAACACATGCGGAGTTAAGCATCTACCGACAACAAAATTAAATGCTCTTTTCCAACCAATAGTAGTTTTGTCTTTGGATGTAAGCTCAAAGAAAAGCCTTAAAAGATGTATAAGATAAGTTGAAAAGTTTTACGGGCATAACGCCCCACGATTATTTGCAGGACTACATATGTTTCTGTCTTGTTTCAACATATGTATCCGTATGAATTGGAGAAGAGATTATAGTCTCTGAAATTCTATTTATGAGACTACAAAGTAACATTCAGATTCAATACGTGCTAGATTCAATGCGTTACAGAAAGTGACCAGGTCGTGGAGAAAACTAATTCACATATTCTGGGTCCAAGGATTATGATCTTCAATACGCAACTCCTCAGATACGGATGCCAAGGAGAGAGTAAAATAGATATTTCATTACAATCAATCTCTTATGCTATCGATTGCTAAACTTTCTCGATCTTCGTAACGACAAACCATGCAAACGGATCCTACATTGCCACAAGACAACATTTTTGTCCTTTTAGTTTGAGTGTATCATCACACCATTCTGGCAATGACCTTTTTGCTGTTAGGAAATGATCATATCTTCCAGCAATGAATCAAAATCTAAAGTTGCGATCTCAGAGCTAATTTTCACCCGAAGAAGTTTAGACACAAAATATATATTTTTTTTCAAAACTAAAAGATTATTTTGTGAATTTTTTTTTTTTTTTTGTCAAGACTCAAAGTTAGTAATTAACATAATTGTGACATTTAGTCAAAAAAATAAAAAATAATCGTGACATATAGTAAGTCTTCCAATTCAGATTTTGACACATGTCTGATTAAAATTATAAAAAATCAATTAAAAAGAAAATATTCAGTTTGAAAATGAAAAATAGCCTATAACACTAATCTTAAAAGAAAAAAGAAAATACTATTTAAAAAAATAAAAATAAAAGTTAATAAAAGACAATGTTTTAATTTAGAAAAGAAAAAAAGTTAAAACACTAATTTTAAAAGAAAAACAAAAATACTACCCACATATAAAAGCACATAAAATCTCTCATAATTTTATACAAAACAAAATATATTTCTTAAGCTTCATCATATAGGTATAATTTTCTTTCTTTTATTGTATCATTATTATTAAAATACCTTATATGATATCCAAATTTTTATCTATTATGATTCATTTGGTATTCTAAATTTTTATCCTTTATGATTCGTTTTCTGAATATTGTATTCATCTAAAGTATTTTCGGTATTCAATAATTAGACAATTCCAAAAAATATTATATGCAAATTTGCAAAGTAGGATTAAAAGAAAAAGAAATCTTAGATGCTAATGATATAACATTGGACAATGATGAGCTCAATGAGGAGGAAGATTATCAAAAATCATATATAGAATCTTTTGATGCGAGATTTGAGAAGTATAACTTCTCTAGAAAACAAAGAGATTATATATGAGAGATAAATGTGAAGAGAAAGAGAAACTTTGTTTCCATAGAGCTAATGTGGAGAGTGTTAATATATTTCAAGGACATGAATTGCATACTTATGTTTTTAACGCAGCAAAATAGAAAAAAAATGTAGTTGATAAAGTGTTGAACTACAAGAGAAGCAAGGTTAATGCTGTTTAGAACCTGCAACAAAATCTGTGTTTTTTAAATATTTTAATTGAAACAAATGAGAATTAAAATAAATAAATCTTGATTTGAATTTTATGTTTTTTATATTTTTTTTTCATCTGATTTTGTATTCTATTTTTTTTTGTTTTTAAATTATCTAATGATTCTAAAATTTTGTTATTATAAATCTGCGTATATAGAGGTTCTAATGTAGTTCTATTTTGAAAATAGAGAATTCAATTTGTAACTCTAAAAAGTACTATTGAAAATAAGTTTTCTTTATAAATAAAGTTTAAAGACACAAACAGAATTTTATTGAAAATGCTCTAACAAGTATGAGTAAGAAAATATAGTCTTCAAAACATTTCATAAGTTTTGGATGTGGAGAATAACACTAAAAGCGTTTGAAACAATAAATAAGTAAGAGAAATTTTAAAAGTAAATACTTCAAAATGACACAGAATGATAAAATAATATAAAATAGGTTTTCTTATTGAAGGAAAATTGTAAAAATGATATTTTTTACGATTTTTATAAATGCTAGCTCTATCCTTCTAACTATTGTTACTTGTAGACTAATGGCAAACTGAATGCAGACTACTGACAAACTAAATACAGACTACTAGCAGACTGATGGGTCAAATAATTAAATGTAGACTACTTGCAGACTAATGGTAGACTAATTACAAATTATTAGCAGACTAACAACATATTAAAAGCAAAATGATACAAGCACGAGAGACCCTCTGGTGAGGTATGACTTATAGATCCAGGCTTCAGCGGATCAGGACAAGTAAGGTTCCAAGGACGGAGGAACTCAAGTCCTAAGAGCAAAAACAATAGGATGGACGTGTAGTTTGGTGTAATGGTCAAGGAACTCAGACGATTAGACCGGGTGGTCGAGCGGGACAGGCAGCGTGACCGGGGGAGCGAAGTGTACCACAAAGGTGATGTAAAGTCCTTTGATACAGCACAAGGGCTTCTCCAATGTTTGGAGGTGCTGGTCTCAACAAAATTAAAGAGCAAGAACACAAGATTTGTTTATAATCTTTGTGAAAGAAAATTTGGTATTTTATTAGAAAATCAAAAGTGTCAAATTACAATGCTGCAGGGGAACCTTATATAATGGTTCTTCAGCTTAGTAAATTTAAATAAATGCAAGACCGAAAATACAAAAGTGCATTAAGAAAATTATATAAATTGAAACAACCATTCTAGGCTAATGTAAATCAAAAGGAGCAAAGTTTGGGATTAGTCAAGCAATAAAAATGATTGAAATAATCTAGATACTTACCTTTCTTTGCCTTTGACGAGTTTGGCTTTAAGTGTTGCTCTCTTTGATTGTAGATCATTCATTTTACGTTCGCTCCTCTTGAATGTGAATTATGAATACGATGTTGTGGGCTTCTTTTGATAACAAAGGCCAGCTTTCTTGAATCTTAGTCCTTGGGTCTCGAACTTGGTCTTCCATGTATTCAAATGAACCGGTCCATGTATTTATGCAGCTTTCTTTGTCTGTTTTGGATATAGTTTGGAATATAGCTTGGTTATATTTGTTCTGAAGTGAGCGAGCTCTTTGTCTAGTCATGGCGCCTTTATTTGGAACACGAATCTCTAGCTCTCGAGAATCTTGTAGTTGTGGCTCGGTTAAGTCAGGTTCAGTTGGGATGTCCTCATCATTCCCTCCCTCTTGAATATGTTTTGACCTCAAAACAGCATCATCTGCCAAAAAATGGAACAAAATCAGTAACATTAAACGTGGAGGATACATTAAACTTACATGGCAGTTCAAGACGGTATGCATTGTTGTTGATCCTCTCTATGACTTTGAATTGTCTGTCTCCTCTTGGCTTAAGCTTTGAATTTCTCTGGTCTGGAAATTTTCTTTCCTCATGTGTAGCCATACCCACTCTCCTGGTTGAAATATTACTTCTTTCCGCCTCTTTGTTGGCATGCTTTGTGTATTGCTCAATTCTTTTCTCTAAGTTCTCCCTGACCTTTTGATGAAGTTTCTTTATGAATTCAGCCTTCTCATCACCAATCAAGCTCACGTCTTAGGCTGGTGGTAAAGGAGTCAAGTCGAGTGGGGTTGTAGGGTTGAATCCGTATACAACTTCGAATGGTGACATCTTAGTGGCTGAGTGTTGAGCTCTGTTGGAAGCGAATTCTATGAACGGTATACACTCTAACCAGTTCTTCATGTTCTTGCCGATGGTTGCCCTTAGCAAAGTTGAAAGAGTTCTGTTCCCAACCTCTGTTTGACCGTCCGTTTGAGGGTTGCAAGTAGTTGATGATAGAAGCTTTGTCCCGAGTTTCTTCCATAAAGTCTTCCAGAAGTGGCTTAACAACTTGCTGTTTCGGTCAGAAACTATAGTTCTAGGTACTCCATGTAGCCGTACCATCTCGTTGAAGAATAGCTCTGCAGTTTGAGTTGCATCGTTCACCTTAGCACATGGAATAAAATGTGCCATCTTGGAGAATCTGTCTACCACCACGAATATAGAGTCCTTATGGTGAATCTTCAGTAACCCTAGGACAAAGTCCATGGATATATCTACCCAAGGAGCCGTAGGGATTGGTAGTGGCAAGTACAAGCCATGCAGATGAACTCTTGACTTTGCTTTCTTGTAAACAATGCATCTAGAGCAACGTGCTTCAACCATTTTCTCCAAGTGTGGCCGGTAAAAATGTTCTTTGACCACGACCAAGGTTTTATCAACCCCAAAGTGTCCCATGAGCCCTCCACCGTGTGCTTCTCGTACGATTAAATCCCTTAGAGAACATTGGGGAATGCAAAGTCTCTTCTCTCTGAACAGAAACCCCTCAAAGATGTAGAACTTGCCAAACGCTCATTAGTTGCACTCGTGAGCTATCTCCTTAAGATATTTGTCTTCACTATAAAGATCCTTAGTAAATTGAAATCCCATCACCTTGCTTTCCATGGTTGAGATTAAGGCATGTCTATGAGATAAATCGTCTGTTACAATGTTGTCTTTGCCTTTCTTGTATTTTATAATGTATGGAAAGGTTTCTATGAACTCCATCCACCGAGCATGTCTTCTCTTGAGATGCGTTTGTCCTCGAAAGTGCTTAAGTGTCATATGGTCAGTGTGGACAACGAATTCTCTTGATATCAAGTGGTGTTGCCACGTCTCCAAAGCCCTCACAAGCGCATATAATTCTTTATCATATGTAAGATAGTTTAATGTGGCTCCTCCTAGCCTCTCACTGAAAAACGCTACTAGCTTCTTGTCTTGAGTTAATACTGCTCCAATGCCTATTGATACACTCAGGTTTTACCTAAAATTGAGTGCACAGACAATCACAGTAATATAGATGGGATCGAATCCACAGAGACCAGGGTTACACTATGACTCTTAATGAATGAAATGAAGCTAAGCCAAGAATATGGTTGTTAAATGCAATGTAAAATGAAAATAGGAAATAAATTCGATAAAAGATCAATTAAAATAGGCGTTAGGTCAAAGGCAATTCGCAGAAATCAGAGATCATGAACCAGACAATTATTCAAGGAACAAATAAGCACAGTCTTGAACTCAAACATGAATATATAACTAATTTACTGTCGTGGTATCATAGACTTTATCTAGCAACCTAAGATTCTATAGTGTCGTTTGAACGTAGAATTGTAAACAAGCATTAGCGATCATGTTCGATTTGTTCATAGATTGCCTTAACATCGCTTTCATTTGTTAAGGACAATCTGCTCATCTATGTTCTTTCAGGCTTTTAAACAAACATTTTTGGTGCGCTAAACAACCTAAGATCAGAAACAAGGTAGCTAATCAAGCTTCAACAATGAGATTAACGATAGATGAAGACAACATATGAATAAATCCCTATCTATGTCCAGTTCAATGATTCATAATTCTTTTGAAATCCTAAACCTAACTAGTAGATTACTCAGACATGGAAAAAGAAAAAAAGCAAAGAGATGAAGAGAAATTCATATTAAATAAAATAGAAATCAACTAGGGTTCAGAAATCTTCTCAGAGATGCAGAGTAGAAAGATCGTCTC